AAATTTTTAGACTTAAAAGTATATAGAATAAAAATTCAAAAAAAATTTCTTGGTAATACTAATAAAAAATTTCTTAAATTTGATATAATAAAATATTATAAAATTTGGATTTAGACAGTATTGTTATATAAAAATGTCGCGACTGAAGCTGAGATCTGCTGATGGCTTTATTCTGATATGAAAATTTAAAAATTTTTATGGTGCACTTTATTAGTTTTTTTTTTTTAGGGTTAGGTTAAAATTCATGGTTAGAGCTGTTAATAAAAGAGTATATGTGGATTTTAGTAGGTCAACCTCAAATCTCAACATCAGCTAATCTCAGCATCAGTCACGACACCTAATATATTTTAGTCACTAGATTCTCCTAATATTTATTCACAGCATGATAAAAAATTCCAGAAGATATTACGAATAATTATCAATCATATTACATTAATCTTTATCTAGGCATTTAAACAACAATAAAACTCTAACAACGATAATATTGTAATTAAAGTTTATAATTAAATAATAATAATAATAATAATAATAAATTCCTAACAATAAAAAATTTCACGCGTCGTAATCCTCCTCTTCAATTGTAATAATAGGATAAAGCTGTTTTGTAGGTATTTTTCTCGAATTCGCGAAAACATCACTACCTAAACTTAGAGCAGAAGTATTGCTAGATCCCGTCGAAGCTTCACTGGCATAAGTACCAGTTGATGCTGAAGACATTGATTTTCTTTGGATAAATCTGGGATGAAGTTTCGAGGAACTCAATAGGGAAGGTTTATCAATAGAGGCTGTAGAGTTTGATTTAGGTAAATTGACAAAAGGTTGCGCATTCATAGATTTAGGAATTAAAACAGAATTCGACATCATAAATAAAGAGGATGATTCATATTCAGAATTATCATCGATGACTGATGAAAGTTGATGGCTATCGAAGCTATTCCGAATTATGCTTTGATTATAATGCGAGACGGGCCAAAGCTCGGTTTCATTTTTTGGAAGTAGATCATTAATGAAAGTTGTTATACGTGTTAAAGCATTACGTGAATGTTTGCCAAAAGTGCCTAGAAGAATCGGATAACTATTAACGACATTTGTTAAAGAATTTGTCGAAAGAATTAGTAAATATATAATCAATACTATAGCATTACAAAGAATGGACATACTCATGAACCATATCCTCATCCATCTCAATAATGACATCAGGGTGTAATCCATCCTTTGCTTCTATCTCAAAATCATTTGAATCACTATCACCTTTTTCAGATTCAAGAGAATGATTTCTCTTACTCTTAATACATTTTTGACAGAACATCTCAATATCGTCCCTAAACACTTCCTTTCCTCCATAAGAGATAAAAAGAGGAGGATATTTAGCAAGAATATGATGAGGTGTATGTAATGGTGAAACAAATGGATTCCTAAACGGGTCCTCAGTAAGTGTCCTATTCTTTTTCTTTCTTAACCTTTTCAAGGATTTTTTTGATCTACCAAATTTTGAAGTATCTGCATTTCGAGAACTTTCCGAGTTATTACGTGACAAACTTTCAAGTGTTATATGCGGTTTTTGACCAAATTCCGACGGTGTACGAATTTCAATAATATCAGAAAACCTAACGGAATTTCTGCTCTTTCTTCTTTCAGAATTATTACCACGAAGAATCGAAGGTGGGCGTGAACTACATAATGATCCAGATCTGCTGAGAGAGTCAATATTATTACTTCTTCTGTGTGTGTTAATCATACTAGGATTTCTATCGTACGCATCAAGAATACTATCAAAAAGCGATTTCGTATCATTATTATCTAAAGTAACTGAAGTAACTCGAGAGTCGATTTTATTGTACGCTTCAAGAATTTTATCATTACGCAATTCTGAATCAGTTCGTATTTCATTATCTACATTACCGTCGTGATTTAACATTTGGTCATTACGTGAATCTAATACAAGAGAATTTCTCTCATCCTTGGATTCTTCAACTTTTTCATTAGTCTTAGTATCGACACTTTCATCCTCTTTTCTCGAACTAATTCCAGTTTTAGTATCATTACTTTCATCTAAATTCTTTATATCATTACTTTCATCTATATTCTTTATATCATTAATATCAAA